AAATGGAGTACAGAACAAAAGGGGGATATCAGTTGAATCTAGAAATATGTGAAAGAAAGCACGCGCGGCGAAGCCGCGCCCGCCCGGCGCAGCCGGGCCGTATCAGAAGGAGCCACGCCGGCGTCAGCCGGCGAGGCGACTGGTAAGAGATAAAGGGGACAACTTTCTTAAGAAAACTTGTGGGGACGTTGTCAGGTGTTACCGACATTGAGGGGGTCCAACGCGAAAGGATCCGTTCGATATCTTCTCTATAATACCATAGCGCAGAGGACATGACAGGAAAGCTTGGTTCAGAGCGGACATTCAAATTTTCGAGAGCCGTGGAGTACACGCTTGCAAAATGTTCGGCGAAAACATTTGCTTTTTCTTGATCTGAAATTGCAACACCCGCCTCATGTACTATTGATCCTACGTACACCTTGTCCTTCAGCCTGGAATTAATGACCTTGTAAAAAGCAGACGGTTTTTTTGATTCTAAAATCTTTTTCTCAACCGAGGCATTGTATTTGTTTAACCGCTTGATAAACCTATCATTACATGCCTTATATGATGCCCAGTTATGAGGGTTATCCGTTGCGGTGGCAGACCTCCAAGCTCTATGAATCTCTCACAAAATCCCGTCTTACACGAGGTTTTCAAAAATGACCCCGTGCAGAAAATGTGGTAATTACCAATACCAATTCGCATGCCAACGCCAAACACTAGCTTGAAAAAAACAATTTTTTTTCGTCAATTTTTTCAAAAATGGTCGTTTTGACAACGAAGCAAAAATATAGTTCCACCCCATATTTTCCGGCTGCATCTCATTTTTGTTCGGTGAAACTTCTCATCATTATGACTTCTTGCCTCTTCTAGGCTATGGCAAGCGGAACTTCATTAATGGACCTCGAAAAAGGACAGTTTATCGCAAAGAAGGCTCAAAAACTGGTGAGTCGTCGAATGGCGCGCGATTCGGGCCGCTATCATGCTATCAACGATTTTTTTTCAAGGGAGCTACAGGATATTGAGCTGAGAAGAGCTCTGGACAACCTTCTTTGTTGCTCGATCGGAATAACCGCCGTATCCTTAGGAAAGCATCCAACTCTGCGGTGTCGTGTTGGGAAATCAAGACATCTTCGGAGGTTAATATCTCGAAGAATACTGTTAGGCGTCTCTCGAAAAAATCCCGAGTTCACCCATAGGAGGAATATGAGTTATGTACTGTTCCCAACGAAAAACCATATTGGCTTTGCTCGAAGATGTTGCCGCACCCAATGAAGTGAGGTTGGCTTTTGGCTGCAGTGCCCTAGTGCTTGTCTGTAGTGTTTTTTTTCAGTTTTTGTTCTCGCAGTCGTGCTTTCTGATGAGTGAAAATTCAACTGAGACGCTCCGACGAAAACCGATCCCGCTGGCACGACATAAGGGAAGACAAGTTTCATTTTTCCGGGCGGAACTTCAGTGGATGTGGTCTCATGGTCTGGGCTGCCATCACATGAATGGAACGTCTGAAACTGCGCACCGTATGAAAAAAGAAATGATTTCTTCCGTTATCTAAAAGTCATGCGACGACGTATCCTTGCTTTCTGACGTGGAAATCAGCAAGAAAGTCCCGTTTTCATGCAGGAGAATGTTCAGTTCATGACAGTAGAAGCACTCGAGCGTGATTCAGTTGTCACCAAACCGCTCTTTTGCCCTAGCCAGCGAGTAGCTCCGACTAAACCCAAGCGAGGATGTGAGGGGCTTCATGGTGCGTATGATCCGTGAGAGTAATGCACAATTCCACAAGGTCCCTGAGCTCAGAATGCTAGTCACTGAGGCAGTCGGCCGCTAGCCTACTAAAATCTCTAATCGAACATGGGCAACCGTATTTTCCAACTTAATTGGAGAAATAGAGTTCCAGTAGATTAATGCATCGAAATTTACTCATTTTATTGTGCACTTGTTGTTGGAATATTCGATTTGTTCGGTGGAACTATATTTTTGCTTCGTTGTCAGAACGACCATTTTTGAAAAAATTGACGAAAAAAAATTGTTTTTTTTCGAGCTAGAGTTTGGTGTTGGCATGCGAATTGGTATTGGTAATTACCACATTTTCTGTATGGGGGCATTTTTGAAAACGTCGTGTAGGACGGGATTTTGTGAGATTCATGGGTGGAACTATGATTATGCTTCGCAGTGTATAACACTATGGATGTAAACAATCACTCATATTATCACTCAGGACAGTGACCTCATAAGCATTGAGCGGTCTACCACAACAATCAGGTCTGTGCTACAGTTTTTTTTCCAGTGTTTTTTCCAGGTAGTTGCAATTTCCCAGTGCTTTTGCATGTTTCAGTGCTGTGGTTTTTTCACTCAGCTTTCTGAGTGAACATGAAATATGTACTAACCTATATAGTAGGAATTAAGCTGTTATTGCAACATGTGTTCAGGAAGAAGGAACCGTCTACATACTGATTGTGAAAAAAAAATCGTTCCACTAAGTACCTAATCTGTTTTAACTCACTGGCGACGAAGCAGCATTTCAGGTGACTGCTGCGTGGGACCATTTTTTTCTGTTTTCGAGAAATACGCATGGATGCTAAGCAAATATACATCAAAACAATTCCAAAAGGACTAGATTCAATGCAGAAATGAACCACAAATCTTCATAAGACACTTCCACCTCGTTGGAAGCAAGCTCGCAAAACGTCATGTTCTCGCTCCACAAGTCGTAAAGGCGATTGGATCCGTATTTGGAATTGTAAGAAGCTACAGCGTTGCAGTACCTTCCTACACATGAAGAACCAGTTCTATATCTCCAGAAAATTACTTTTTACGGGGTCGTTTCCGTTAACACGTTGACGACGGTGTCGGACGATGGTGGGCGACAGCCAGTCTGTCTCATGGGACGGTGTCGGACAATGCTGTCCGACAGCATACTGCTCTAATATTAAAGACGTGCGAGCAATCAAGTTTGTCTAGAAGATGCCTACAGGAGTAGGCTGAAATTCTGAAACGAACAGCGCAAAGGTTTGGCCCGGACTGCCCGGCGCCCGCGCCACAGGCGCCGGCACCAAAATACCTTAAGTCACCAAAATTGTTGAAAACTTGTCTAGTGGGGTAGCTTAGGCCTCTGAACACGAATATCACAATCGATTGCCATAAAACTGCCTGGCGCCTTCGCCAAAATGTCCTAGATCATAAAATTCCCTGAAAACTTGTCCCTATCGATGAACCGACCCCTGAACAAAAATATCATGTCCACTTAACGCGCTGACGGCGATTTCCGTCAATGGTGGACGACAGAAAGTTTGTCTTGTGGAACGGCGACGCTCAATACTGTCCTACAGTATTGAATAACTCGATCTGCGCGATTTTTCCACTACGCTAGATACGAGATTGATACTTGCCTTTTGCATTTCTCGATACATTTTGATCGTATAATTCATTTAATTGGAAATTACTAAGTTTCAATGTAGAAAAATGTGCCGTCCCACGCGCAAGTCATGGCAAAAATGGCTCGTCGTCATCGTGTTAATTACCTAGGTGAATTACCCACATTGACGCAGCTGCATGGATTACAGCCACCATATATTCTACAACAGCTTCCTGGACAATATGCCGCTGTTAGAAACTTGAAATGTATCGAGGCTGGTGTTTAACCTTTGCCGCAGCCCAACGTTGGGACGCAATGTCCCATGCAAAAAAAAAGAATGTCGCCGCCAATGTGTACACAAATCGCCTTACTAGGAATCGGAACGTGACGGAGTGCGACAATATCTGCAACAGAAAAAGTTTTCCCAATTCTCTAGCTACTAACAACCCAAGAAAAGCAATTCTTAATTGTTATTTATTATTGCTCCCATTAGTAAAGAAATAAAGGAACTTCCGCGATCATTATCATAGTGGCTTACGCGGTTTTGGAGGGGTTGTGCGTGAAGTTGAAACGGTTGTACGTGACGACGGCCTCAACACTTCATGTTTAATGCCTGCAGCGGATTTTTAGGAAGTCCAAGGGCAACACCCCTGAGGCAGCTACTAGGTAGTTAAATGTCAAATTTTTGACGACTTTGTTAAACAGACAAGCTTTGGAAATGTGGGTGAATTCAGACGTTGACCACCTCTGCCGCTCTACTGACTACATGAAGGAAGGCGCTTATCAGAACTGATGGCGGTAAGCTCAAAAAATCTCTGTAACTGTTGCATGACCTGGTTCATGCCTTCACAAAAAAAAATTTCTGAAGCGAGAAGCGAATGAGGAAAAGACTGCGTTCAGCGTTTTTCAGCGCACGTAATTTTTCGCCACCCTCTAAATGAACTAAAATTTACCAAATGGGGGACCACTCATCATACACTGCGGGCGTTTGTAGGTAGATTCACACTATAGAAATGTTCATGATAAACTATTTCTAGGTGGTTAACCAGCATTAATATAGAGGCAAGGGCAGAGCAAGACGAAAAAGCTAATTTAGAAACCAACGAAAACTAGACTGTTGATACGCTATTGAGCATCATGCCGTTATAGGGCAAACAATTAGGTGGACAAGGAAACTGGCTGATGGTCAGGAAATTGGCATATGCGGACGAGTTGTGCGCTGCAGAAAAGGATATGCAGAGAATTAGTAAGGCTGGCAATTGAGTTCGCGGTACACTGTCCGATACACATTCTTTAAAGCGTACCTTGCGCTAGGGCAGTTCCTAGTAGAGCGCCTGTAGACGTGCCCGCAACCCAATCGAAATAAGGAAAAATTGGCTCATTCAATTCTTCTTCAATCGCTAAGAGTGTCTGAATAATACAAATTTAAATCTGAAAGTACATTAACTATGACTACAAGCCCTTGCTTTCTATAGCGTATTGCTTCAAGTGCACTCAAGAGCGCCATGGTACTTGTGGGCACGCTGGATGTCACTCAGCGATATCAGCTGCAGAAACACCATCCATAGAAACCGGGTACCGCTTCAATCTCGCAGCGCTGCAATGCGGTTTACCTTCCCCATTAAGTGACACTGTCGACGAAATAGGGCACCGTACCTTGAAAGACCGTAAGCTACATGTTACTATCAGGAATAAGTGATTTTTGGCGATGAGGTGATTCTATGTCCTAAATATCACCAGCAGCGATGATGGTCAACGCACTGCAAACATCCACCCCAGCAAGGTTTCCGATATAATGCGAATGGTGGTGTTTGAAGCCCGGCAAGCTGACTACTGATGGGTTCTTACAAAGAATCTGCAAGTTAAAAACTTTATTCAGTAAGCGTGCTGTTTTCGTACTAAGCGGTGTGAAAGTTGATTCAGTATCGTTTGGTGCGTCATTGAAACATCTATGAAGTCGACAAGAGAATTTATTGGCAGCTCACCATTTTACAAGCTCCAAAGGGGCCAGGACCTGCAAAGCGCAAATATGAACACCAATCAAGCATGAATTTGTTGATTTTTTTCCAAGGAATAGAACCGACAAGTTTCGTGCCGATAATGACAAGAACTGAGAAGAGCAGAACAACATTCATAAGAGCAACAAACGGTTCGGATCCGAAAGTTGAAATAAAGTGACTCGAGCATCCGCTGTGCTCACAGTATACTACTGTACATCACCATTGGACCAACACTTTTTCAGGTCATTAGAAACCAGTCGGCTCGCCGGCCGACGCCGGCGCGTCTCCTTCTGTGATGCGGCCACTACGTCGGACGAGCGCGGCTTTGCCGCGCACACCTTCTTTCAGATATTTCTAAACCCACTCCTCTTGTCCGTGATGCCAATGCTGCTCCGCAACCGAGTCGTGGATTCTTGACTCTCTCTCCGCTCCCTGATGCATGCTCCGCCCGCAATGGGCGCGTCAATCTCGCTTTAACAATTAAGCTCCTGTACATCTCTGCTCACATGTTGGCGCTGTCTGGAGTGCTCTGGAACCATTTTACAGACTTTTTATCTGGCTCCGCCCACAACATGTGTGCCCCACATTTCTTGACCGGCGACCCTTTGATGACCTTGATACGCTTTTCTCCGGTGTCTGGAGCGCTCTGAAATTGTACAGACTTTTGTCTGGCCCCGCCCACAGGGGCAGGCTCCGTGCACAACATGCGTGCCCCTTGTTTCTCAATCGGAAAGCCCTCGCTGACCTTGTTCCATATTTTTTCTGGTGTCTGGAATGCTCTGGAACCGTTCTACAGATTTTTGTCTGGCTCCCCCACCTCGAAGTAGTCGCCGTACACAACATGTGCGCCCCAGACTTCTCAATCGGCCAGCCCTCGCTGACCTTAAAGGCAGCTGGCACGATAATTTGGTACCGGCTCAAAATGCAACAGGGCCCTATATAGTGAGGAAAAGGCGAAAAACGAAGTAACACGGTGAAAAACCTGCGAAAAAGCATTCATTCTCAAGAGGCGATTTCGGACGAGTTTCCCGTTGGCATCTTGCCAATAACCGCTATGGTAGATACGGCTGCACTTATGTACTCATATCCATGGAGCACCGCAGCCGCTTCATATCAATCCCTTCGCTTCATATTTTACGTAGCAAATAAAGCAATACGAGCATTATGTACGGTCGTCCATTTGTGGTGGGCGTTCGGGTCGGTATGTTGTAGCTTGGTAGGGCCCTTATAACGGGGCCTTTCTTGGAAAAAGTGCTGCGCAGCGCCCGTTCAAGGTCGCAGCATTCCGTCCTGCCGGGCCTATTCATATTGCTCGTCAGGGTTTATCGTGCCAACTGCCTTTAATACTCGTTTCCCGGCCTCTGGAGTGTTCTGGAACCAAGCTACAAACTTTTGAAATGAGTATCTTGCGGGAAGGCTAGCCCCGCCCACTGTCGGCGGTCTCAACACACTTCAGGCGTGCCCAACACTCGCCAGATATTGCCCTTCTGCATCGTGTTTTTTGCGATTTCTGAATGCTCTCGCGAGCCGAGTTAATGTATTTTGTGGAAAGCACCGCCTATCGCAACTACGGCTCGCCCATTTTGGGTGTGTCTCTCCTAGTCAGTCTAGCAACCCCTTGTTAACATTATTTCACTTTTTTCCCATCTCTGGGCTGCCCCGGAAGCGAATTTTTGTCCGCGGTACCGCAAACTTTTGCATGCCCCGCCCACTGTGGGCGGGAATTCGCACAGGTCAAGTGTGCTCCTTACCTCTTGTCCCCCCATGCCCTACCCACCTCCACCTTGACCCGACCTCTCCAACTCGTTCTTCAGGTCGAACCGAACAGACAGACAGACAGACAGACAGACAGACAGACAGACAGACAGACAGACAAACAAACAAACAAACAACAACGTTAAGCAACTTATTAGTGGTGACCATCCGCATAGACCGGGTATTACCCCGACATCGGAAAAAATTCAAAGCCCGCCCGTTATTGTTTTGAAATTGAAGGAGTACCCATTTTGGAAGGCGTGTTTCGCAGTGAGATCCACGTGAACTCAATATGCCATGAATTGCCTAAGTGAAATTACTCGGCTTTTTTGGGCGGCACAGCTTCAGTCCATGCATTCCTGATTGTTTTTTAACAAAAAAATATACAAGCGCTTTTGATCGCAATCCGGAGGCATTTCCAAGCAGCCATATACAATGCTAGTAAAAAGAGCCGACGACCCCACCCCCTCCCCCCCGCTTTCTCTTCGAAAGGTGGTTTGGCTAGAAGACCGTCCTCACTCACCGTCCTCATAAGACAAAAAATAACAAAAAAAGCAATAAAGCAGATGAGATTTCAACTAGTAATTCGATTACAAACTGTTGCCTAAGCACATCTCAGAGATTGCGGGCGCAGGCATTCAGATGCTTCTTCCAGCTGTTGCAACTAGCGAGCAGCTATTCCCGAGTTTGTTGCACATAGGCAGGAGCTCCGGAATACCTTCATTTAGGTTGTTGTTGTTGTTGTTTGTTTTTGTTCAGTACATTCTTTGAGAATTTTCCTCGTTGTGACGTCGATGTTGCATTTTAGCGCCACCTATGAGTTTTCTTGCTTTGAAGAGTTATAACTTCCCTCAGATGTGATCTCTGAAGAAACCAAAAACAGTGCCGAAATTCAGACGACATCTCTTTCTAAAAGGCACTTTACTTCTTTTTCTCATGTCGACTATTTAAAAAATTCCCCTTTGTGATTTTGTTGTGGTAAGTTTCGGACGACGCGAAAACCCACACCTCTGGCACAAAAAAATTTCCAGTTGTTTGAAGACATGAGTAAGCTTCTGGAATACTTCATGTCGGAATTGTCAGGAAATAGTTCATTCCGTGCCGATATCCCCTTTGCATTGCGTCATGCATCCGACTTCCACGCTGTAGGAAAGGTGTGACTTCCAGGTAAGGCTCCTACGTGCAAGCAAATGTGATTCTACGGTTTAGAAAGCTTCAAGCGTATTTTGCTCGCTCATTGATTCATGACGTCGTCGTGGACTACTACCGTATTTCGTGTCAATGTCGTTCCTCACATCTGAGCTTGCAACTTCTCTTCGGGTGTTTTTCACAGCAAAGCCATGAATAAATCGCCACTATTGAACTATTACCCGTTTTATGAAAAGATGCCGGACATTAACCAACTTTTTTCTACGGCGGTAGATTTGCTGAAATTAGTTTTAGGGGTAATTCGACCTCCTGAGCATATCTGCTTGGCCTGAATGCCTGACGCCCGCGAAACAGGCGCCAGCGCCAAAAACCCTTAAACACCGAATTTGCTAAAAACTTGTACCCAGGGATAGTTTGACCTCCTGAACACGAATATCACATCCGCTCCGCCTGAAACCGCCCGGCGCTCGCGCCACAGGCGCCGGCGCCAAAATACACTAGGTCACCAAATCCGCTGAAAACTTGTATACGGAGGTTATTTTGATATCTTGATTACAAATATCACATTCATTTTTGGCGCCAGTGGTGTTGGAAGACACTACGATCATCTACGCTCTGCTAAAGCTCTTAGAAGAGCGCTAAGTGGCGCTGGTGTGGAAAAAATGCCATATTCGTGATCGAGGTATCAAACAACCCTATTATGCAGGTTTTTATCGATTTTGATGAAAAAGGGTGTGGCGCCAAATCAGCGCCAAATGGCGCCATATGGCGCCAAGGCTGAAAACTAATGTGGTATTCGTAATCAAGACATCTAGTAACCCTACTTGCAAATTTGCATCGGATTTGGTGAGGGACGGCGCCAAAAATGAGTGCTATATTCGTGGATAGGACACTGAGATACCTCTGTGGGTAAAGTTTCAGCGAGAAAATTTTTTGACTTTTTGGGGTAGTAACAGTTGAATAGTGCTTTTATAAACTAGTGATTGTACGACATCTCAGTATTGCTACTCTTCTCACTTATGAGTGAACCATGCTCTTACGACCCCCCCCCCTCCGCGTTCAAATACGACTCCTCCGTTGTGATTCTCACAGCGACAGCATGCCCTGGCCTCATCCCCTTGAAATTGAGGGAACCCCGATTGCAATCTAAGAAATCGGCCACAGTTTGGGTCAGCTTTTGAGCACACGCCAGCGTATGCTTGAAACGCTAGATCGATATTAAATAGATAATACCGCAGGTGTGAGCGTCCGATTTCTACACTGTGGCCAGGCAGAAATGCTTTAAAGACAGCCTCCGTGACTAATGTGTAGAATGCCTCCATGTAATTGTTAGCCATCCGCGCAATTTCGATTTTCGATTTTCGCCTTTCAACCGTACGGTCTTTTTTAGAACTGCGCCCCCCCCCCATGAATGCCCGAGCGATGTTGACCAGGGAACTCCGTCAAGTTATCATGGAACGAATCGGCCTGGGTAGATCGATAGTATGTAATGCTATTTACAAATATAGAGATCAAAACTGCCACCAGCATTTCACAAGTGACTTATGAGCAGGCAGAGTTTGTAATGGTACAGCACGGTGGAGGATTGATGGTGGGCTATGAAGCATTAGCGAAGTATCGCGTAGGACAAAACGAGTCGTAGTGGTTCATCGGTAAGGTTCTCAGACACAGCATGAGGTTCAGTTCCCGTGAGCCGAAGTTTTTGCATTATTCCTAAT